GCCTTGGTTTTATTGACTTACCAAGGCTTTCTTGTCATTCGGGGTTTCATACATATGGAAGTGTTCTTCATCTGAAGCATACCTCGCAACTTAGAAGGTGAGGAAAGGCTGACTCAGACACAGAGCACTGGGTCTGCTAATATACCCTTATTAAAACACACACACACCACTCAAATTACCCAGAGATGTATGAGCGTGGTACTGCAGAGTGTCACAGCGTACAATCATTTTCCAGGACCGGAGCTTCATAGTTTTATGCTCTCACTACTCAGACTGGAAAAATGATATAAAAATATGATGAGCATTTGGATAAACATGTTTACGGTTACAAAGAAGTCAAGAAGAGAAAATGCGAAGTGCTTGATTCCGCTGTCGCGGTGCATTCATAGTCATTTAGTCATCCTCTGCTTGCCTTGTCGTTCCTCTAAAGGTGCAGCCAGACTATAACTCACATCTGTGTGAAACAGGACAGGACACAACTGAACAGCCTCCTTCGCTTTGCTCCAATGTTCAATCTGAACTCTGACCCATGAAATCACAACATTCTCCAATACCCAGTCAGGTGGGAGAGGAAGCACTGACCTTTCATTCAGGAAATAATGTTTGTTTATATTCTATACAGCATGACACAGAGAAATAATACAAGCAGCAGATAGGGAAGGATGCTGTTTGTAAGAGTAAGGAGGACGTTAATGACAGTGCAATATTTGAAATGCTGTTTAATATATAGTGTTGTGGAGTGCTGCTGTTAGCTCACTAGCCATGCTAGTTCCTGCAGTTTGCATAGTCACCCACCATAGTTCCTGTAACTCCTGCATTTGGCTACACCATGCAAATACATTTTTCCATGTGGATTCTAATCCGACTGCACCTTAACTCTCCTGTCATTTCAGATGCTGTTACTCCCTGCTACCCTGCAAAAACCCATCCTTTCCCAGCTGTCTCCTGATTCTCCACACCCACCCGCACACCTGTTCCCCATTCTCTCATTAGCTCCTTCGTATATATACACTGGCCCACTTTCACTGTCTTCGTGCTATTCCAGCCTTGTGTCCTGGTTTGCATCCAGCCTGTTCTGGACCAGTTGCTTTGAAAATAATTTTATATATAATTTATTTATTGTGTCTGTAAGCAGTGACATGTCCAAATGCATGTACATACTTCATGTTCTCAGTCAGATAAAGGTAATGAGCTAATTTACAGAAAGAGTTACAATCAATTCTGTACTACTTAATTTTCCATTACTTCCCCCAGAGAACAATTGAATCAACTGAAAGATCTTCTTTCAGCACTTCTACACACTGAATTAAACCAACACCATCTGTATTTCTCATCAGCACAAGTAACTAATAACCAGACGTGATGACAACAATGACAACACTTCATGGCAACACAAATAAGGAACAGTCTGTGTCTAAAATGACTGTACTGTAATGCCATACAGAGCAAAAGAGTGAAAAGTACCATGCTGCTCAGCTTTGGCCTTAAATACCAAGCAAAGACGATGAACACTGCAAAGCTGGAAACATGAGAGCAGTTCCAGCACAACAGTCATCCCCTGTTGTCATACCTCACAATCCAGGAGAAAATCACTGGCTTCCACCAGGTGCCTGTGAAAGAGTTAACAATGAGCAATCCTCCTTTATTCAGCCCTCTCTTTTGTTAACCGCAGAGCCAGCCAGCTGCACATTCATTTCCAGTTACTCTCAACTACCAGTGAAGTTCCATCAGCAGCAAAGGTCAGTTTAATTTATTCATACCATCTACACATGCCAGAGGAGGCTGCTTCTAGCATTTCAAGGAGATTACTTATCCCATTTTTCATTCATACAAAGTACTCACAGCTTTGATAGACCCACAAATGCCACACCCTTACTATGAGCGATGACAGGAAAGACTCGTTTTCATGCATCACGTTGCGATGGTTGCTGAGCCATGAAATACAAAAGCTCCGTCAGTGTCCGTGAAAGAATCAGAGTAAACAGGATGCTGAACATGATGCTCCTTGCAAACGTGATGTTCTGCCGCTCGAGGCAGTTTTTCTTTTGCAGACTTTTCAGTTGGTCCAGCCACCGAAGTGTAAGTAGTTGCTCTGTCATGTTTTCAATTTAAACATATTTTTTGTGACATCCATTCAACACAATAATCATAAAGAGGCAAATGTATGTATTCTGATAAATGTAATAAAATGTCTCTGTGACAGACTGGTGACCTGTCCAAGGTGGACCCCACCTCTCGCCCAATGTCTGCTGGGATCGGCTCCAGCCAGACCCCCTCCCTGACCCGCGACCCCATTCAGGAATAAGCAGTATCCTGTCCAAGGTGGCCCCCACCTCTCGCCCAATGTCTGCTGGGATCGGCTCCAGCCAGACCCCCTCCCTGACCCGCGACCCCATTCAGGAATAAGCAGTATAGATGGATGGAAAATATCTGCCTTCGCTGAGAGATGTCACAGTCTGTTTGCTGCAGCAGGATGGTGGTTACAAGCTGATGAAGTATGATAGCTTTCAACTAGGAATAGAGAACACATTAACATCCGAACCATTCAGCCTTGCTCTCACAAGGGTAAGACCTAAAAGCATCCTAGGCCCAGTTCTCCCTTTGTGGCCGAGTTGTCATTAAGACCCCTGTGGTAAAAGGCCACGCTATGAAGGTGGTCTTCAAAGAGCTTATTAGAAAGCTACAGCACAGCTCTGGAGCCTTTAAGATATTTAGGATCAAACACCTCCATCTTTCATGCTTCCCACTCTGGTAGAAATAGTCTCTCTCTGTTCTTCGTCTTACTTCTTTTCCACATCATTACAGTCCTGTACCTTCAAAGGGCAGAAATAAAGAAGATGCATACATTTTGAATTTGGATACAACTTGGTATCCAAAAGCAGCTCGGTGTTATTCTGGGTCTCTGGCTCTGGAGTGTCAAATAGTGCCACACTACATTACACACAGTGGATACAGCATGAGTGTAACTGCAAAAAACAGGGTTTGTGACTGTGGAAAAAATCAAAAGCAGGTTTTAGTGTATTGGTGCATCTTAGGTGATATCTGAGAGAAAAACAAGTAAATGAGGCTGAGAGAGGGGGAAGCAGAGAAAAGGAGGAAGACAGAAAGAGGCAGGGTGGCAGAGAGAGGAGAGAGAAACAGAAAGTAGAGAGGCAATAATTGCATGTTTTGTGTCACACCTTTTGCTCTTCAGACAGCTGTTGCCCTTCAGGCTGTAAGTAATAAGCGCAGTAGTCTCAGCACAGCCTGAGAACTTTGTTTACCCTTTCAGATGTAAAATACGGGGCGTTTTATGGTGCCTCCACTTCTTTTATATGTATTTTTTTTTTACATTTCCTGCATGAATGCACACTGCAGATTAACAAGGTGTGTGTCGGTACCTGTGTGCAGACATCTGCTGTAGCTCTACAGCGCCCGGCAGCAGTGATCAGTAATGTGCTGCTCCACTGAACAGCTCATCCCAGCTCATTCATTAAGCTAACTCCCTGTGCCGCTAATCCTCATTCCCAAACATGCACACGGACACAAACACATGTACACACATAGAGGGTGAGAATTTACAGAGCTTGACTCTCCCTGGTCAGTGGACATGGTGATGTTTAATGAGTTCCAGGCCTGGATGCCTTCCCTTGACTGCAGCCTGTGAGTGGTTAATTAAAAGACAGCTCTCCTGTCTTCCAAGCCCCCTCCCTGTCTTTCGCTATCCAACTCTATACCAGCTTTACAAATACTGTTTCATAAATTGATGAGACCCTTGAAATTGTTTCCCATGTGGACACCTGCACCTCACTACAGTATTGCCCAATACGCGCACCTTGCAGAGGAGGTGCTCCAGCTCCGAGCCCATGTCCAGAACTTTGACGACAAAGTACAATCATTCAAATCAGTAACATTTCAACACTATCTTTATGCATGACTGTTTATTGAATGACCTAGAGAAAAGCTGCATTATTCAACTTGAATGCAATAATTTCTGTTGCCTCATCTGAATAGAAATAAACTGAGGTCGACTGTACTCCCCAGTATTTTACAAACAACTGGTGTCCTTGGATGAGATGTGAGAGACAGAAGCACTGCTTCTTCCCCTGCCAGCTGGTGTCTGTCGCAGAGAATGACATGCAGTGTCAACATTGTGCCAGGCAGCAATAAAAAGGTGAGAGACAATAGTCCAAAAGCTAACAGTGGCTTTCCCACATGGCTTGTGCTGTAGTGGTTTATATACAGAGACGCACAGCACAAACACAGAGAACGTGCTGAGAGAGACTAATTTCTCTCAGGGATAGCGTCTCTAAATTTTTTTCTAGCTTGAGTTGGTGATTTCTGCCAGGCCAAGGTTAATGTTGCCATTTTTGAATTGCCTTTTGGACTTTTCAAGGTTCGTCTAAAGGAATTTGTCAGTCAGCTGAATATTAAAGGGACTTTTCCATAACAATGATCACATCACCGTCAATATTCCAGGTACAAGTTTATTATTAACAGCTTTAGTATGTGCAGTTTCACTTTTTAAATCTTCACTGTTAGGTCAGTTTATACAATTCATTATTTTTGCTTGGGAATCCCACTGGCAGAATCCTTCATCTACATGATGTGTCTTTTTCTTTTCTGTTCACCTCCTGTACATACAAGGTCAGCATCACCAACATACAGTATAAAGACGCACAAATGGCAACAGAAAACTTCCTCAGTTTTCATCTCATATTACTACTCAAAATGAACACATGTGGCCTGGAACAATGTCATGTGGGCACTGAGCAGAGATGAAAGTCTGTGCAAAAAAAGATGCAAATGTAGATGAGAGCAGAGAGGAGGCTCTCCGGGTGACTGTACCCCCTGATGCACTGCTGATGAGTAAAGCAAGCAGGTCTATCAGCCCGCTGGCGTCAATCAAGGAAGCCCCACCAAGCTCTCAGCATGATCCTAGCGTGTTCATTTCCAGTGCAGGGCACAGCCACTGCTGTCACAGGCTACCGAGTAGCCCTGACATGCATGCGTAGGCTTACCCTCGGATCGCACGGTGAAGGGGGAATCTCCGGGTCGCTTGGCCGAGAACTGCCCCCCGAGAGAGGTCATTAGAAAGCACAGGCTAAAGAAGCCAATCCCCACCACAAAGATCCTGCAGGAGAGGGGCAAACAAGGGGGGGATTGGGTGACAAGAGAGAAGTTAGGAGCGACAAGGACAAGAGAAGAAATGATAAAACAAGGCATGTGATGTAATTTCACAGTAGAAGCACCAGTGAGTTCACTTGAAGCCAAGTTCCTTGAGATAACATCACATCGTTGTGCGGCTTTATGGACACAGAAAAGGACTGTGACTGTGCCATCTAAAGGAACCTTTACATGCATGGGCTTTCTGTATCACACTGTGTTCAGTGAGCCAACATCCAAAATAAAAGCATTCAATTACAGGAAAATGCCCACCACACTTTGGAGAGAGCAGAAAACACACTTCTCAAGTTTTCGTCTGATAAGCTGCACGCTCCAGGAGCCACGCTGACAAAATGTTGGTAAATGTTTGGAAACAACCCTTCTATAGAGTGGAACTGCAGGGCAGATTGTCACACGTCCTTTCTGTGGACCACAGCTCGCGTTCTTGAATTTTAATAAAGGCAGAAAGCTGACAGTCGGCAGAGGCAGTCACTCAGCTGGAGCCTGAGTGAGTGACAGCGCTAGTAAGTGAGGTAATGGTGGAAAAACTGGGATTTGGTGTCCAGGGAAGCATGCACACTGTGTGAGAAAACCGGTGAACCTATGTAACAGCTGCTGAACTCCGCAGCAGGAGCATGTGGGCTGCTCACAGCCAGACCTGACAAAGAACGCACTCCACTGTATCCACCATCACAGCTGAGAGAGTGATAAGGCTTTCCATTTTATTAATGCTAATGAATCCCTGAGCCTGTGCACAACTGGTCAAACCTGGGAGTTTTAATGAGTTTGTAGCTGCCTGACTTGCTCTTACTGCTTCTCCAGCTGCTGGTAATTAAAGTTTTAGCTGCGTAACCAAACGTTAATTGCAACACAGTAAATTTTCAGTTGTTCCAATTAATCCCAAATGGCCTAAACTCGGAAGGCTTGTCCTGCGCAGGAAATCAGCCACTACTGTGCTCATTATCTGAGGTATTTAAACAGTGGCTTAATTAACACTTTTCAGTTTAGCCGTATTCGTTTCAGTTCCACCTTGTATTTACCATCGTGCAGCAATAATAAAGAAACCAAACAGACTCTTGTCATTTTGAATAGTGAACAATAAAAAGGAAACTGAAGAGACCAGTTCTTACCTGAATGGTTTGAAAGTAAGAAGACATCTTCTCACCATAATGGAAAGGTCGGTGCTGGCTGCAGTCATTTTCCACGCACTAACATTGTGCACATCTGTGTGACAACCGCTGTCTAAACCATAAATTTCCACCGAGGTCCTGTGCACTGAGGGAACGTTACGGTGACAGGACCAACTTCCCACCCTGCCTGGCTGCTGTTCGTGCTGCGCCGTGAACAACTTCAGCGTAAATCCTACGGCGCGTCCTGCAGCAGCGGCTGCTTGGTCCCAGTCTGGAGGAACAAACCGGAAAAATGTTGGATAACTGCCCTTTAATCTGCTCTGATCGTATCCTGACACGATCAAACGTCCTGGAAGTATTGCAGCATGAAGCGCAATAACACCGGACTGCTGAGTTGTTGAATGTGGATGGAGCGCGCACTCTGTTGTGCGGCTCGTTTACTAATAGCGCCATCTAACGATCCATACCGGAATATGAAAGTAGATTTCTGTGTTTACAAAGTCAAACATAAAGACTTGGATGAACAAAAATACAGTAGCCATTAAGTTTAAAATGTAATTTTACTGGAAACATAAACATAATGTAACACTGACTGTAGAGTGGAACATACTGTGTTTAATTCATTCCCCCACATTATTGAGTTTGTACGTTTATTTAAATGGAAAACAAATAGTTTTTCAGTATCGTTATACAGAGACAAGACAATTACGGAATGAAGAAACAAAAATAAATGCGAACAATAATTATAATTGATCAGAGGTGGAGAGTAACTAAGTACATTTATTGAAGTATTGAAAAATGTCTACTTAGTATTTTCATTTTCTGCTACCTCATACTTTGACCTCACTACATTTTAGAGGCAGACTTTTTACTCCACTACATCAGAATGAGAATAAAACAAAATACAGTGTAATTATAAGACTTTAAGCAGGAGGTTTAAACCTTAGCGCCACCTTTACCAGCTGCAACATTAAAATGATAAACACCATAATGCATCAGTAATTAAACTCCATTAATATGAAATACACTCATGTGAAATGTGCCATTCTGAATAGTACTTTTACCTTTGCTGCTTTAAGTGTAATTGAATGCTAATACTTTAGTACTTTTACTTAAGTAACATTTTGAATGAAGTTTTTCACTGTGGTATTACGACTTTTACTTTACATCAAAGTACTTTTTCAACTACTGTAGTGTTTTTGTTTATGTTTTTTTTTTAAAGAAAAGGCTCAGCTACCAATAAACTGCTTATTAATTTTTTGGAATAGTGAATTTACAGAAATTGTGTAGACAATGAGTTACTGTTTATCATGAGCTTCTGTAACAGTTTAATAAAAATCTGTCTCAACCCTTTTTACTTCTGCCCATTATATGTTCTTTGTTGTTTTCGATGTTATTGTTGTTTTTTGTGTTCTTTTTTTTACATTTGTAGAATCAATTCAAAAGAAAAGAGACAAAAAGTTGACCTAGTACACCACCTTAAAGAAACAGAGCTCCCAGGGCCACATTCAGTGTTGGTCTAATGAACAGCATCCTCTGTTTCCATGACGACAGCTCGTGGTGTGTTGGGCTTTGGCTCTGCCTGTTGATGCTACGTATATTGACTCTTGGGCCGCAGCCCAGTGAAACCGACTCTGCTGACAATACAATCCTGGGCTGAGGTGTAACATGCACTGTGGGTCAGATCACATTCATTTACTGTAAGATGACAACGTCTGAGCGATGGCAGAGCTGAATGGTAAAAAAAAAACCTCAGCAAGAGTGATCAGTGACAAAAAGCAGAATGCAGTGTGTGTGTGTGCTATACACAAAGATTGCTATGAATATTGCATTTAATTTTATTTAAATGACAACTGAGCGACGCACTCTCAGAGATAAGTGTTCAGTGAATCTGAGATATGTGTTCACACTCTTTTGATGAGAGGATTAATCATACTGTCACCTGTAGAAAGTTTAACTAAGGACACAGCGCCCTCTTAGGATCTCTCTTTTTATTTTCTACTTTATTTCCTGTCTTTTCTTTCCCTCTGCATTTCTTTGACTTCCTATCTATTCTTGTTCTCCTTGTTCTTAGTCTTCCTAGCCTTCTCTTGCTTCATTCTGACCTCTATCACTGCATTAACCTCAGTGTTTGTTATTTCAATGACATACGTATACTGCCTCTCTATGTCCCACTGTCTCTGTCTGTCTACTTGTCTCCTGAGTATTTACTTCCACTGCAGTTTCTTTCTTCCTCCCACTGTTTGGTTTGGACTCTCTCTGCTTTTCTGAGGATTCATGGGAACAGATGCCCAAGTACAAAGAACTCTTTGAAAAGTAGTACCTTTATGCTAAACACTGTATTTGTATTTAACAGAGAGCTATAGACCTGAGAGAAGCAGAGGCAGAAAATACAGGCTTATCTAAAATGGGAAAATAATGCACATAAGCCTGTAGTTATGATCAGAGTAGAAATAAAACCCAATTTTGGCTCATCAAAGGTTTTTACTGTTGTTAGTTTGCCAAGAACGTGAGAGAAAATCAGCGACTGGTGCCTAAGCAGGGCAGTCACTGTGCCTCAGCCCACATAACTTTCTGTTTTGAGCTTCACTCAAAGCAGCAGAATGACAAATGTCTGAGGTATTTTCACAGCTCATTTTCATATTTTTACCTCCAGTGCCATGAAACACTGTACATGTCCAAGAGAAAATGCTGAAGAGTTATGACAACAAAACATTTCATACATTTACGTATGGTTCTTAAACGATAGTAAAAAATGCCCATAATCTCAGTGAAATTCAAATTAGTGAAAGTAGTTGATTTTAGCCAAGTTCAACTCAGCCAACTGCCTAGGATGAGCTAGTTTGATGAGTCTTTCACTCATAATGGACTACTCTAGCAACAAACTGTCTTTAGTAGCAATTCCAGTGTGTGTGAGAAGCAAGCATACATTAATGTGGTAGCTTCCTCTGTCAATAGGAAATATCTAATAGAATGGATCACCTCTATAAATGCAGTAAAAGTAGTTTGGTGCGTGGTTCTTGTCCTGATAAATTTGGTTCTATGTGTGTTTTAGGTGCAGTTGAGACGTATTTTGGTGCAGCTGCACAGGGACCTCTCAGTAACTACATGAATCTACAGGTAGCTACAACCACCTTGATGCTTACTCACTACAATGGGGTAGATTCCTCAAAGTCTGAATTAGCACCGCTGGTCAATGTGATGTTGTTTTGCAAACATTTTATTGTAAATATTTATTGAGCCAGGGGATCGGGAGGGGCGGGGATGTTCAGAAACAGCTCTGGACAGTGGATTCAAAAGCTGCTACACCAAGCACAGATGCCCTTTGTCAGTATGTCCACACTCTTTACTACACAGTAGAAGCTAAACTGGAAAACCTCCAAGTGTAAGAGCTTCTACAGGTACAGTGCTCCCTGCTTTGTCTTTCACACCTCTAAGCAGCTGCCAAACCATGTCGGTCAGTGCAGAAATCAGCTAGTGCCATTATTTTAAAACAATTAACTGCCACTTCCACTGATTTGCTGACAGTGACCGACTCCAACCACGGGCAAGATTTTATTTAAATTCATCATGTTACTTTTCTCCGGCCTGTCACTATTCCCAGTTACACATGACAGGGTGCTTTTCTCAGAGGAGATCTCAGCAGTTATCTGACCACTCACAGATAGATTTCCTGCTTTATGCTGCCATGAATGTCCATAACATCCATTAATATAACTGGGAGTGATGGCACAGCACCAGTGAAGCTGTAATAGTGGTGCTGAAATAATAGCAGCACTCTTAATGATAAGTTATACAATTCCATCAAGATTTAGATTGAATAAAGTCTAAATGTGTATGTCATAACAAATAAAGTGTACTGATATTCTGCTAACCACAGGGTCCAGCAGAGAGGAGGTACCATCTATTCATGAGAGCTGCCTCGCATAGAAATAAAAACACCTTCCACACTTTCACAGCAACTTCAAAATATACAGTATAGTAGCAGGAGTAGCATGATTAATATTTACCTTTTTTTATTACCAACACATTTATACAACAAGCGTATCGGGGGAGGTACATGCTGTGTGAGTGGTTGTACCTGCACCGCTGCACCTCAGGTGCTAACCACAGCTTTCAGAGTTTCAGAGCTTGCCTTTGTCGTCAGCATGTCACCACCACCCAGTCAGGAGAACTGTGAAAATCCCAGTTTATTTTGCAACAGAGTTTTGGTTGACTGTGACTTCCAAGATAGTGACTTGCCACTGTTGTCGTTCATGACAACATCTGGAGCGTCAGCTGGATGATTTAACACATTACTACAGCATATCCCATTTCGACAAACACCATTGACATCCATTGTCACCTTGTCACATTGTTGCTAAATATTTTATTCCTGGTAGCTCTTTTAGTGCATCCCTGCAGTGCGGCACAGTTTATTGTCACCAGAAGCAAAGCAGCAAGTGATGAGAGAAGCTGGAGCCTTATATACAATTATACAATTAGTATGGAGGGTTATACCACAGGGTAAACAGCATCTGTCCCAGAGTACTGTGTGAGGGAGATGTTATGAGAACGAGCCAACGGCACTGCACACAGCGCTGGTCTGAACTCTTTGAAATGTGCTTCCCTGCCACCATGAAGTGAGAACTTATTAAAAGAAGATGAAATACCTCTGCAGTGCATCGGTCTTTTAATATGATTATTCAATATACTGTATTATATTATCATTGTGTGGGCACAAAGCTGCAGAAAAGTATGTGAATGTGCACTCCTATCTTCAGGTTGGCAAGACTTGAGAAGTCAAAACCACCTTGTATGTCTGAGCTTTATAAAATAAATAAAATAATATGAAAAGCACTTAAAATATAAGGTGCATAAGAACAGAAATAGCAGCCAGCTCTTTTGTACATTGATCCTGACACATCACTGACGTGTTGCTGGAGGTTCAGAGCTGATCAGTGTTGTCACTTTCCCCCCTACCATAGTTTTTGTGTTCTACTCTTCTTGTCTGGGATGGTGATGACCGCACTAATAACACTGACTGCTTCCATCGCTGAGGGTTAGTCTGGTAACTTTTCTGTTTGTGTCTCACATCAAACCTTCTTCCATTTCTTTCTGTAATGTTTCTGCTTTTCCTTCCTGTGGCCTGGCTACTCTTCACCTGTCCACCAGGGGTCCTCAGTGCTCCCCTGACATGCACACCTTTGGCTCATGACTAAATCATGCCTGACCTAACTGTTTTCCTAGCAGCCCCTCATTTTTTCAGTCGCTGTCTCTGTATGAGCAGAGGGTACCTTTCCAGCATATTTCCAGGCTATAAAATTACACTCCATGCAGTACCTGTCTGAGCCTGTATCCAGTTTTCCTGCCAGTCCTTGCTAAATGTTTCTTTGTCCATGCAAAATAATACTGTATGTGCTAGCCTCTGT